ATTAGTTCGGCAGTGTTTGGGCATTCCTCCTGTAGAGGGACACGCCCGACCTAAGGGTATTCGGGAGCGGCCAAAGAGGGGGGTGTCCAAGAGGGGGGTGTGCAAATCATGACGGGCGGCATGTGCGCGGCCCAGCGGGGGGGCCAGGGACGCAATGAAATATAAGAGGAGGCGCCATGACATCTGGGGAAATACCGTGGCCCCCGCCATGATATCCACCCCCCCTAGTCATCACCCCCCTCTTTGCCGCCCCCGACCTTTGAACCTCTGTGCAAACGCCGGGTGCTTCCATTCACAACTCTTGGTCGGGCGGCACTGGCCGCAGAACCGCTGGAATACCGGCTGCGCCGCCAGGCGGGAGCACGCTCGCCAGCTCGTCTACCCCCTCCTTCTCCTCCCCCTCCCCCTCTTCCATCTCTTGTCCTCATGGATCGCTTCTCCCTGTCGCACCCCAAGGCCAAGTCTCTTGGGGGGCGGAAAGATACGGATACGTGTTGTCCCCGGACCTCTCTTGGGGTGCGTTCTGACCAGAATTTCGAGGCGAATCCAGCGGTGACAACGAGGATTCCCCAGGAGGACCAGGAAAGGCCTAAAACGAAGGGGTACGACACGTATCCGTATCTTTTTCTCCCCCGAGTCTCCTGTCTCCGTAGTCATCACCCCCCTCTTTGCCGCCCCCGAGTGGAGGGACACGCCCGACCTAAGGGTTCTGCGCCCCTCTAACGGGGACTCCACGAAGGGGTACTTTGGCCAGTGACCCTGCGAACCCAACCCTCCCCGATGTGGGCAACGCTGCAGTGCCACAAAGAGACCCTAAAGTGGCAACTTTCGGAAATGTTCAAAAGTACCCGTTAGTGAGTACCCGTTACGGCGCCGCTGAAGGGTATACAAATGTCGGGCGCGGCGGCCTCGGGCGCCGGGGGGCGGCCGCCTCCCGGCGGAGGAGGGGGAGGAGGAGGAGGAGGAGGGAGGAGGAGGAGGAGGAGGAGGAGGAGGAGGAAGGAGGAGGAGGAGGAGGAGGAGGAGGAGGAGGAGGGAGGAGAGGAGGAGGAGGAGGAAAAGGAGGGGGAGGGGAGGAGGAGGAGGAGGAGGAGGAGGAGGAGGAGGAGGAGGAGGAGGAGGAGGAGGACGAGGAGGAGGAGGAGGAGGAGGAGGAGGAGGAGGGAAGGGGGGGGGGGGGGCGGGCGGAGGGAGGGAGAAGGGCAGAGGGAGAGCAGGAGGAGGAGCAGGAGGAGGAGGAGGAGGAGGAGGAGGAGGAGGAGGAGGAGGAGGATGTTGGCGAGGCGCGTGTGGACACTCTCAGTCCACCCGCTCTCGCCCCCCCCCCCGGGGAGGCGGAGGGTCGCGCCAGCTTCTTGTAGTCCGTGGCGTCGAGCATGAGCCGCGCCGCCCCGCTCTGCACCTCCCGGGCGCGCGGGCGCGCCGCTCGGCGACGCACACGGGAGCTGACACACTGGCTCGTCGTCGTCGTCGTCGTCGTCGTCGTCGTCGTCGTCGTGGTCCTCCTCTCTCTCTCTTTTTCTTTCTCTTCGTCCTACCACCTCGTCACGCCTCGCCCTCGTGCCAGTGCTCCTCTTCCTCGTCCTCCTCTCTTTTCGTGCCAGTGCTCCTCTTCCTCGTCCTCCTCCTCCTCAGCCTCTCTTCCTCCTCCTCCTCCTCCTCCTCACCATCTCCTCTGCCTCTCCTCCTCCCTCCCCTCCTCCTCTCTCCCTCCTCCCCCCTCCCCCTCCCCTCCTCCTCTCCCCTCCGCTTCCCTCCTCTCCACCTCCTCATCCCCCTCTTCCTCCTCCTCCTCCTCCTCCCTCCTCTCTCTCCTCCCTCCTCGTGTCCCTCCTCCTCCTCCTCCTCCCTCCTCCTCCTCCTCTCTGCTGCTCTGCTCCTCTGTGCCAGCACCGTGCCCACTCCCTCGTCCCCCTCGGCAAGCCGCCTCCAGATGCCGGTCGTGACGCTCCCCTGGACGTGTCCACAGAGTGAGAGGGGGGGGGGAGGTGCGGGGGGGAGGGCGAAGGTTGTGGGAGGGGGGGGGGGCAACACCGCGTTCCCAGGGGAGCAAAAAAGTTACATAAACAGAAAAACTCGGAGGTCCGCGGGGATTTCTCGGATCCGCGCTGGACCCCCTCCCTGGCGCGCGGAGCGCGCCAGGGGCGGCGCCGGAGGCGCCGCCAGGGGGCCCCAGCGCCGATCTGAGAAATCCGCGCGGACCTCCGAGTTTTTATGTTTATGCCACTTTTTGCTCCCCTAGTTCCACCGTTCCAAGACCTGCGATTTCCTCATTTTCTCTATACAGGGTCCCCAGAAATCCCAACCCTTTCCCCGGAACCGGCTTTTCATCCCGAGCCGTTTTGACGGTCCTGGGGCGAGGCGATGGTCATCAGAGGCCGAAAACGGCCAATATCCGCCCGTCCTCTTTTGCTCACGACGCGCAGGGGGGGTCCGCAGGGTATCTCCATGCGCGCAGGCTGGTTTCGAGGTGGCCCCGTGTTGGCCCGCACCACGAGTCTGGCGGAGGGCCACTCTGACGCGCATCCGAGCTACTGGCGTGGGGGTATGGCGTGGCCCTCCCCGGATCGCCCCGCTGCGGAGGGGGAGCCCCTCAGTGGAGCGATGCGCCATGCCGAGCCCATGGAAGGGAGAATGGCGGCGAAGACTGGAGAAGGGAGGTTCCTGACGTGTGCGATCCTGGAAGGCCCTCGTCACCACGGCCGGATACGCCTTGAAACTTGGCGGTCCCAGACCGGCGCAGTGACAGACTCAGTAGAGCCCAGAATCGAAGCGGGGCGCGATCAAACTACGAAATCGGATCGCATCGGAATCGGGAGCCATCGAACTCGAATCGGATCGAATCGGAGGAGTCGAGATGAGCCCTGCGTCCCCCCCGCCCATTGTGAGCGTTTTTTGTTCGGCGTTTGGACATTGGGCGGAAAGGAGGAGAGGGGGGGGAGTCTGGCTCCGGCCCTCTACGTAGTGCGGCTCTTTGCGACAGTGCGTCCGATGGGGGAGGGACTCCGCCTGCTCGAAACAGGCGCCAGAAACAGCCAGGATCCACTCCAGGAGGGGGAGGGGGGGGGGGAAGGGGGGGTGCGAGGGCCTGCGCCGATCGGCAAAACAAGGCATCAGAAACGATCACAGTTCGGCACACCCCTCACACGCTTCGGGGCCCCACCTCGCCATCGCTCGGACGTCCATTCCCTGTGTTTTTTTCGGTTTCGTGCGTGGCTGTTTCGCCAAATGATCAAGGATGCTCCTCGATGGTCCTCGCCGAAGGAAAAATGCACAGGTCCGAGCGATGCCAGGACAAGCAGCTCGCCACCGAACCCCCCGGCGGCAGGGCACGCACTTGCGCGCCTCCTCCCCGCCCAACTTCTACGGCACGCCCCCCCCCCCCCCCGCGTGCCGTGGCCCCCCAGAAGAAGGAGCAGCACCGAGAGCGGCACCCACCACGGCGCTACTCGCACAACTGCATATGGATGGGTCCTTCGCCCAAGGAGGAGGAGGAGGAGGAGAAGGAGGAGGACGAGGAGGAGGAGGAGGAGGAGGAGGAGGAGGAGGGACGGTCCCTGGGCCCGGCGAGGGCCCCCCAGAAGCAGAAACCGTGGAGAAGCCTCCGCTTTGTGCTCTTCCCCAGCCATCCAGTGGTGGTGGGTCCTCGCTTTGAAGAAACAGTCCCCGCGTCTCCTCTCCGATCCTCACCTCCTGCCCCTCATCCCCTCCTAACTTCTTCTCTCAGCATCAGTCTACCAGCTAGGTGCACACCGCACACGTTTCGTGGCCTCAGAAGGAGCTCCTCCGAAGGCCAGAGTGGCAGGGTCCACAGAGTCTCCCCGCCTAATTTCGGCACACCCCTCACACGCTTCGTGCACCCATAGGGAGCTCCACCGAAGGCCCCAGTAGGAGCGTACACATGCGTCTCCCCGCTCCAGTTCGGCGAACCCCTCACACGCTTCGTGACCCCACGGGGAGCTCCACCGACGGCCCCAGTGGAAGGGCCACATGCGCCTCCCCGCCCCCTTATCGACACGCTCCTCACGCTTCGCGCTTCCATCGAGGAGAACAACCGCAGGCCCCAGTGGGAGGGTCCACATGCGTCTCCCCCAACCATGTCGGCACATCACACGCTTCGTGGCCCCATGGATAGCTCCACCGAGGTCCCCCATGGCAGTGTCCACATCCATCCCCCCACACGTTCCGTGGCCCCACGGGGAGCTCCACCGAAGTCCCAAGTGGCAGGGTCCACATGCGCCTCCCCCGCCTCATCTCGGCACACCCCTCGCACGTTTTGTGGCCCCATAGGGAGCTCCACCGAAGGCCGTAGTGGGAGAGTCCACATGCGTCTCCCCACCCCATTTCGGCACGGCCCTCGCACGTTCCGGGACCACACAGGGAGCTCCACCACAGGCCACAACGGGAAGGTCCACGTGCGCCTGCCCGCCTCACTTCGGCACCCAACTCGCACGTTCTGTGGCCCCATAGGGAGCTCCACCGAAGGCAACAGTCAGAGGATCCACATCGATCTCCCTCCCCGCCCGATTTCGGCACACCCCTCATACAATGCCCTTCATAGGGGATTCCACCCAAGGCCCCAGTGGGAGTGCCCACATGCGTCTCCCCGCTTCATTTCGGCACACCCCTCACACACTTTGTGGCCCCATAGGGAACTCCACCGAAGACCCCAGTGGGAGGATCCACAAGCGTCTCCCCGCCCCATTGCGGCACACCCATCAAACGTTCAGTGGCCACATAGGGGGCTCCACCGACGGCCCCGGTGGGATGGGGCCACGAAACGCTGTCCTGGGTGGCGTGACGCATGCGGAGTGGCGTTGACGCATGCGGACCCTGCCACTGGAGCCTTCGTCGGAGCTCCCTATGGGGCCACGACACGCTGTCCTGGGTAGCGTTGACGCGTGCGGGCGGTGCCCCTAGGCCTTCAATCTAGCCTCTTATGGGGCCACGAAGCGCAGTCCTGGGTGGCGTTGACGCATGCGGGCAGTCCCACTGGGGCCTTGAATGGAGCCTCTCATGGGGCCACGAAACGCTGTCCCGGGTGGCGTTGACGCATGCGGGCTGTGCCACTGGGGCCTTCGGGGAAGCTCCCTATGGGGCCACGAAGCGCAGTCCTGGGTGGCGTTGACGCATGCGGGCGGTGCCACTGGGGCCTTCGGTGGAGCTCCCTATGAGCCACGAAACGCTGTCCTGGGTGGCGTTGACGCATGCTGGCGGTGCCCCTGGGGCCTTCGGGGGAGCCCCTATTGGGCCACGAAGCGCTGTCCTTGGTGGCGTTGACGCATGCGGGCGGTGCCACTGGGGCCTTGAATGGAGCCCCTTATGGGGCCACGAAGCGCTGTCCTGGGTGGTGCTGACGCATGCGGGCGGTGCCACTGAGGCCTTCAATGGAGCCCCTTATGGGGCCACGAAGCCCTGTGCTGGGTGGTGGTTGACGCATGCGGGCGGTTCCACTGGGACCTTCGGTGGATCTCCCTGTGGGGCCACGAAGCGCTGTACTGGGTGGGCGAAACGCAGGGATGAAGGAGGAGGGGGAGGAGGGAGGAGGGGGAGGAGGAAGGAGGCGGGAGGATGAGGAGGAGTAGGAGGAGGAGGAGGAGGAGGAGGAGGAGGAGGAGGAGGAGAACGCGGGGCGCCGTCTCTTCCAAACGAGGACCCGACACCACAGGATGGTTGGGACAAAAGCACTGCGCCTCGCACATCATTCTCCACGAGGGTGCCAGATTGGGGCCCTCCTGTGCCATGGCACGGTGTGATCCTGCGCCCTCCGCGGCCCCCTCCCCAGACGTCCCAGGGAGCGCAAGGGGCTCGGCTCGGACATCGCGCCCGCAGGCTCTCCTCGAGGCCGTGCGCGGCGAGGGCCCTCGCTCCTGACGCGCACGCCGGTGGAGCCGCGAAGAGGCCAGCGGCATCGGCTCCTCGGCACGCACGCCAAGCCGAACTCCCCCGACTCCGAGGCCATCACCCGTGCCTGGGGACCCTCTGGCGAGGAGACACCGAAGGAGTCAGCGGATGCGGCGCAGGCCAACCGAATCATCCCAACGCGTGCGTGACCCGCCCATATTAAGCCTGAACTCCGTAGGGGCCTGCTGGCAACATGAGCAGAGGCACGCTCTGGCCGTGGCGGTGGCGCTGGCGGCTGCGAAGGCGATCGAAGACGGGCTGCAGACAGAGGTGCACGGCGACCACGAGGACGACGCCGGCGCGGGCGCGCTGCCCGCGGGCCAGCGCGAGGGCGGCGGGAGCCAGGCTGCCGAGGAGGCGTGCGTGTCTAACGCTGGTCCGAGGCTGCCACGCGGTGTGCATGGTATGGCGGGTCTGGCAGCGGACCTGCCAGATCCCAAGCCCCTGTGAGGGAGCAGGGCGGTGCAGGGACAGCTGTAGAGACAGCCCGGCGGTGGT